TTGAAGTAAGCAATAGGGGTATTCCTTTGGGTATTCCAATAGGGGTATTCCTTTGACTTCACAAAATAAGTTGAGGCTTTTAGGCTTTAAGCATTTCTTTCTGCTATACTTAACACTAGGTACCAAAATTAGCTGAATAAATGCAATTAAAATATAATCACTATGAATCCATTTTAAATAGAAGAAAATGAAGGGAAGATTAATTTTGGTATTTTCCTGCCAAGTCTCACAAAAATATTTGTGAGGCTGATCAAGGAGAGACGTTTTAAATCTCTAGAAAATAAAGTGTTTTTGTTTCATTTTTCCTTTTGTTTTACATACTGTAATTTGTTTGTTTCATTATTTAAGGATATGAACAATAACTTGAAAAACAAAATAAATATAACACCTATTAGTTTGTATATAACTAGGGGTTGGACGATAATCTCTAAGATAATCATATTTATGAAAACTTAAAATTCATTTGGTATAATTAAAAAATTCAGAATTCAGGGAATGATTAATCCACTCTTGTTGTGGGTTTCTTCTTAGTAGACTTTTATGAAAAAAGTTAAATTAGCACCTATCATCATCTTTTGTCTTGAATGTTAGTTTTTGTTTTCTTCCTTTTATCTACTGGAAGTCTCCCCAGTTCTAGCATTAAGCTCTGGCTGCAAATGTGGAGCTTCAATTCTTGCACATGAGTTGCCACATATAATGGAAATCCTTATTTCATACTTGATTGTAATACAATGGAATTCACTACATAACTCACTTCTCCCACCACAACCATCTTAGAAACAGATTGAACTAGGAGATAGGGTTGCGTAGTATAGTTTTATGGGTTTAAATCCAAAATAGGACGGTTTTTCGTATCCTTGAGCAATACATTATAGAGTACATCATTCAACTTCATCTAGAACATGCATAAATGGGTATTCTGAAGGTCATCTCTATTACTAAAAGCTTGTTTGCAATTGATATATCTACATAAGTACAGGATTAAATAAAAACCTTAAAACACAAAGATTCTCAAATGTGGACATTCTGGTCTCATTTGTATAGAAGGAATTTACTGTTTCTTTTGATAGGTGTCAAAGCTGCCTGCATCAATAATCCACATTTTTCCCTTTAGTGAAATTCTTAGCCTTCAGTATGAAGAAATGATCAAGAAAACCATTAGTTTTTAAAAATTTATTAACTTATTTTCTGGACAGGTTCCATGGGGCTCCTTATAATGTGTCCCTAAGGCTAAATGTAAACATTTGGGAGACAGGTCCCCTTCTCCTTATGCTCTTTCGTAGAGTCTACCTTCAGTCACAGATCTTATTTTCTAACGAAATCGGAAAAAAAAAATCTATTTTTCTTCATAGCCACAGGGATGGGCTTTTATTTCATAGGATGAACTGGAGCTTTGCTTCACCATCCTCAGCATGTGACATGCATTCTACAAAGTGCTGTGCTGTTGCCTGATCAAACAATTCCATGGCAAGCTATCCATTTCCATGTGAACCCCGCAAATTAAAAATGTTGATCACATTCAATAGAGAAAATAGCATTACATGTTCGACTTCTTTATGCCTTTTTTGCAAAGGTGTCCTTTATTTTAGAGAAGAAACTGTTTTTTTTTTTGTACAGTGAATAAGCTTTTCCAGCATGCGTAACTTTCCCGTTACAACTTGTTTACTGTTGTGCGTTTTTTCTTTTAAAGCCCCAACCTGCCTTTAAAGAAATAATTACAATTCATTAAAGCTAGCTGTCAGATTCTTCATAGCCACCCATGTCCTTCAGCTATCTTAGCTCCTGTCATTCTGTCAGCCTGCAGCCTATCGATTCTGAGATCTTTACTGGAGCACTGAATGCTTGCATGCCAATTTCTTTGCTGTTTTTTAACACACTGACCTTTATTTTTTAAAAGGTTTTTAGTCCAAATAAATAAGTAAAACTGGACTTTCTACTTTAATATTGTTCACATTATGGTCTTGTGAAAATAGTTCTGCTTTGAAGGCAAGTAGATGCATGACCTTTTCTTAAAGAAAAGCTATGAAACAAATAGCAGAGGGCTTGTGGTATAAACTATGAGATGAGTGGACAACTTTGTTATTTCAGGTTAGAGATTTTCTTTTCAAAGACTAAAATGTTTGGCCTTTTTTTTCTATGATTTCTTTTCCGAAAGCTGTGCTATTTATCTGAGCTAGAAGAAGCCTTTCTTCATGCTTCGAAACACAACTGTCAATTTAAAAGGCAACAACAGGTTTAAATATGACTTTCAGCACATGGCTTTAGACAAAACAGAAATGAGCAGTGAAATTATCCTTTTTATTTCTCAGTATAAGAACATTGCCAAGAATATACATCTGGATAAAATGTTTCCAGAAATAAAAAGCTTAGTTGGCTGAACCTGAAAATATTAAAAAACTGGATTATTTTTCTCTCCAATAGAACAAGTGTGTGTATTCATGTAGACACATAACACATACATACATAGAAAAATCCCATCTCGTATATATGGAGCAAGGTGTTATCTGAATTTAAAGATGGATTATACTTGCTTATTGACATATACACTCCTGACTATACACATAAAGCACTTTGGCTCTGCAAAATGTTGCCAGCGTCCTAGGAAACTCAGCCTATAAAAGACTACAACTTTTTCATTTATACTGATAATTGGAAGGCATGATGGAAGTTGAAAACTTTTATCTGAAAATCTAAATATTATCCTCAAATCCCAAGAATATTTTCTTATTTGCAACACTGAAAGTTCTTTCTCAAAGATCTGTAGAGTGCAAATTTTTTCATCTACTTTCATACCTCCTACAGTTTGGCAAATACTATTCCAACATGTTCAGAATCATACATATTATTGACTGCTATCCAGGGTCACATATTGTATATTATTAGATCTGAAGAAGAGGTTTTCTGTAAAATGATAGGATTCAAAACAAATGTTCAGATTAACATCTCTATCAGGAAATTTACTAGCTAGTCTTTGAAATAAATATCCTCTAAAAATCCTTGGAGTTTTCCTGTTCTGCCTTTTATAATTGTGGAATAGAATTGTAGAATGAAAAAAGGCAATGTGTTTCTTTTGATCACTTATACCCAAAAGGCCTTCCAATATCCAAGCATCATCCAATGGAAAAGAAAATCAGAAGAAGAGACTTCACAAATATATATATTGCATTGAAGGCGGTGCAGGAATGAATATTGCAGGTGTATACAGTATATTACTGTGTATATGAAATGTATACAAAATGAGCATGTTCTTTGCTGTTTTTGATGTTTATGATGCTGTGCTTCTAACTGCAATCTGAAGAGTCCTTCTGAAAATTGTCTAACGTCTGTCAACGTGAAAACAAATAATGAAAGCTGATAAAACTATATGAAAATACAGTAAATGCAGCCAATAATCATGGAAGGTTCTGCACAGAATTGGAAACAATGTAAAAGACAGTATCATTGGTCTCAACCTATGATTAAAATAGGTATGAATTAATTTCTGTGGTAACATACAGTATAAGAAATGGTAAACATCCTTTATACATACTTTGCTAGTGCAAAAGCATTCACTCTAATGTTCTGCATACTAAAGTATCCTTTTACATTTTATAATCTGATCTGATAGAGAACTGCATTCATAGGAAATGAGATAAAGCAGTAAAATAATTATTAGGTGTAGGATGCCAAGCATCTACAATGACTGCCAAATGCATCCTTTTAAACTTACCAGCAACAAACATTGCTAGGATCTCCTTAGAAAGTGTATATCAGTTGTCTTCAGACATACAATAGTTCATCCTGGTTATCAATGTACTTTCCAGTTTCTTTGCTTCAGTGCCAAATTTGCTTCTGATTTTCTGAAAGTAATTACAGAGGTAAAAAAAAGAACTTTTGCACATCATGCTGTGCAGATCTCACTTTGTTACTGTTCTTAAATAATGCTCTGATGACGGTCTTAAGATCGAACATTTTCTATTTTTGTTATTTCTTATTAATAAAGTGAGATTTTCACAGTGTGGCGTGTGGGAGTGTTTTTTCTTTTCATTTGCGATGGTAACTGTCTTCTGCACCTGTTACATCTGTCAATAGTTGTGAAGATTTTTCTGCACTTATTTTTTATGTTTCATTTCATACAGCCTTCAATTTGTAATTGCCAATTGTTTCTTTAGATCTTGGCTTGTAACAATGACTCTTCAGTGGCAGACACGCTCCTCTGACCAGCCAACCAATTCAGCCATTCATCTTTTGACAGCAAAAAGCTTGTAGTAGAGTTATTACCAACTGGAGCAGTGTCATGTCCCTTACTTAAGTCTCTGCAAGCCGGAAGGCACCCAGGAAACTGCAGGAGATGCCATTTCGACACATTCTGAGAGAGATCTGGCTTAATGTGCTAATCACAGTAGGCTAGTATCACGCTTTTCATGATATCTGGGTCATAGAGCTCAACGTGTGCTCAGAACAAGGGTTAATATGATTTTACCTACTATGGAAACCCATTGGTATAATTATATCAAGAAGCAGAAAGTTTACCAAACTGGCTGTTACAAGAGACTCTACAGGTATTCCCAGCCTTTCTTAAATCCAGCTTCTGTAAATCCAACTTTACGTAAAAAGCTGTATGTGGCTTCAGTCCTGTGTCACATTGCCTCATGTGCTTATGTTCCCTTACATGTGTGTTGTCGGGAATAATTACAGATGTGTTTGCAGCCTTTTGGATACAACTGAAAAACATTCTAATCATGTGAAATGTATTAGTGCTGCACAAAAGCACCTTACAATTACTCTGCAAGAGTACAGTATTCTCAAGTGCTGTACACCATACTATACTAATATTGTAGTCATGTAACTTTATTACTGTACTGTCATATTAACAGTTGTCAGCGTGATATTATTAATACATTCTGACTTTTTGTAAATTTCTATTTATATAAGCTTGTGTGGAATGTAACCCTTACATAAATCAGAGAGTACCCGAATGTGTGGGAAAAGTGGACATATTTGAGTTTTCACTGAGCATGTGAATTATGCCTCTTTTTTTATTTGGAGATTGAAGAACTACAGCAAATTGTACATTGGAGCAAGGTGTTGTCAGAAAGTTTTCAGACATGAGTTTCTCCAGATTCCCACACCAGTCAGGATGTTTTACAGAGTGTATAAATGTACAGACCCTGTTATGTGGGTGGTTTTAATGAAGGCTCACACAGCATTCCAGATCAGGCAGACATTATGGGGAGATATATGAAACAAGCAATTGTAAAATGACTGTCTAAAATATTTTAGAATAAAAAAGAATCAAATGTGAATATATAGAAACATGAGAAACAGGTATTTAGCTTATGACAATAATTTTGTAATTAGTATACATTCTCGCTGCTGATATTCCTTAAACTTCATAAATCATTAAAAAAAGAAAAATCTTTCAAAAATCTTTTCTTCATTTCTCATGAGACAGACAAGATAACTCAGCCTAACAGGCATTCTGTGAGTGATTAGGTGTCCTTCAGTGCAGTGATGATTAGTTGAAGGGCAAGCAATGATTCATAAGTGACATTAAGACAAACAACCTGTATTTATAAACTGGATATGATGCCCATCTCATGAATATAGTCAGGAGCTTCCCCACTAATATAGCTGTACAGTGAGAAAAGTATATCAGACAACGGTGAATATTAAGTCTGGAGCATTTCTTCATATACTTTTGCAGAAATTGTAAGAAAACAGTTTTTTACCTTGAGAATTTTGCTTCTTTATATTATGAACACTTCTGGAATACATAAAAACTATTCCAGACTTCATTTGTATTTCATTTAAGGTTAAAAAAAGTTTAAAATACTGTTAACAAACGATTGTAGAAATGCTGTTTATTTTTGGCTGAAATAAATATTACTGCTGTTCCACTCCATTGATTACATTGAGATTCACAACTCTTAAAAACACACAACCATATTTTTATGTATGTTGTATGTATGTGATTTGAAGAAGACATGGCTGGTTGCTGTATTGCAAAAAAAACAGATATTTCCCCCATTTTAGGATTGAAAGGAGTTTGTCAGAAGAGGATTACTTAGAGTTATCTTCTCAAAGGTTCTTATAGTATATGTGTAAAATGTAAGGATCATAACCACAATAATCATTTGTAAGAAGCTTTTGATATTTTAATTCACAGGAAATTGTCTGGGTAAATCTCCGAACCCTATTTCTGAATAGTCCTAGCGAGCAATTTCATTCTTCGGGAAATAACTATATCTCTATTCCCAAGCTTTAAATACCACTCTCTTTAGGAATTCAAATTTTAGTAAGTTTTGTATGCTCTTGTGATCACAAATGTGAGTGACATACAGATTAATTACCTAGTTACAACCAAACATGCTAGATGTGCTAAATAGCTTCTTCTTAACAGTTCTTCTGTTATTATTGTAGAGGTGAAAGTGAAAGAGTTATCCATTATCAGAGTAATGAGATTGATAACACTTAGTACTTTTTTAAGTAAGTGTTGTTTTTAAGGAATATATTGATGTGATATCTTCAATTCTCTAGTATATGAGAATGAACATAACAAATTTAAACAGACTACTAAGTGTGCTTAACTACCAGGACAAAGATTCCTATTAGTAAGGCATTAGACTTTTATTCAGACTAATTGTTTTTTGGCATTTGCAGTTGTTCAAATCCTATAATTAGCCTTTAAAAACAAAACATAATTTAAGATTTCCAAGAAGATATTTACAATGAAGAGTTTTGTGAATCATACTCTGTGGTCTGAAGGGTAGTGTGAAATGTGTCTAGCCTAGGTAATCACCACTGTCTCCTAGGAGCTGTAAAAATGGTTGAGCTCCTAGCATCTGCTCAAAGTCACATTATCTTCTATGGTTCGCCACACATACCTGAACAACACAAAAATATCTAAAAGAAAACAAACAAAATAACTCTCTCTTTTTAGTTGAGAAGGTTATCTGATAGAAAGAAGATCCTCACTGAAGAGATCTTTAAAAAAACACAACAACCAATATCTTCATACATGAAGATTCACTGTAGAGAAAGCAAGAAAGCAGAGAATTTTAAAAGACATATGTATCACATGGGACATTTAAGGTTCATAATATAATAATCAGACCTGGGATTCATTCTCTATTCTCCTTCATCATAACATCCACTGCAATGAAATCTCTCATAAAAATAAATGCCTGAAAATGTCTTTTTTGTAGTTTTTTCTTCCACACTTAATGAAGTCCTTTTGTAGGTGAACTTCTGATTGGAACATAGTTCGTTGCTTTTGTACAGATATTATCTAAATGGTTTGACCTACTTCACTGAGTTTACTGAAAAAAGCTGTGCTTTAAAAAAATATCTAAATAAGCTCCCATCTCATGTGCTGACATTAAGGATCTTTTCTGTTGAATACTGAGTCCATCATACTCCTTGTACCCATCAACCCAATGATGGGTTGCCATTAAACAGAGCATGCATGCTCAATGGTCTATTCTGTGTAAATATACACACACCTTGCAACTATTTAACATGTGCCACAAAACAAACACGAGACCTTTTTTGTTTCAAAATTGCAGGCCACAGCAAAAAGATGTTATGGGGGCTAGCTGCACAGCTGGCCCAGTTCCGGGTCAGAGGAATTGGGCAGCTTAGAGCTAAACATCTGTAGAGAGTCTCGAATTCTAACCACCTCGCTGGTCGAGAGCTTCAGCCTGTGACGCAACAGGCAAGAAAAGAGGTCCAGGCGTTGCTGGCCTGGTGGGGAGAGTCTGTTGATCCTGTCTCGCATCTCCAACAGCATAAGGAGTGCTGAGTCCTGAGATCCCTGAGTGTAGGGATAGTCAAGTTGCAGGATTAAGTCTTTTATCCCTTCTGGGTCAAAGTGCATGCTATACCCAAAAACTCTGAAGCTATTTATCTTCATGTAACCCAGGTTGGACGAGCGGTCATCAGGGTCTAAGGGCTCGTAGAAGATGGTTTCATTGCTGTTGGGGTCATCAGACCTTATGCGGCTCCGCAGATAAATATGAACAGTTTCGAAAAAGGATTTCCACTTGCTGCCCAGTAATAAAGTCCAGTTGTAACACTGAAGTGACGGATCCAGTTTAGTTCTTTCCCAGTCTGGGAAATCCTGTTGGTTCACCGGCATGAACCAGCTTTCAGAATGACTGCCTCCGAAGGGATTGACGTAGATAGCGGGCACCGGTTCCAGGGTGCTGTTCTGGGTGGAGCAGATCTGAAAGGAAATACCTAGGAGTATGTGGATCAGGTTGGACTTGTTTTTGTTGCTCTTCAGGGTGAGCAGCATGCGCTTTCGCCAGGATGGGTTGAACCAGGTGCCAAGACGGACATCGCTGCTGATATAGATGGCATGGATCTCCATCCTGCTGTCCAGGTGCTGCAGGAGATACTTCGCTTCTGCATCTGGCACATCTGTGTCGAAATTGACATAGTGATCCAGAGAACCTGCGACAGCTGGTCTGCAGGTACCCTGATGCAGCACATAGCCGGGGTGGCAGCTGTTGCAGCGAGTGATGTTGTCAGGCGCGCAGGAGGCACAAGCTGCTCCTTCTGCCACTAAGCAGGGAACGGTCCCCTGGCAGACCAAGTGCTCAAAGGCACATGTACAACTGTGTGCTTCTTCAGAAAAGGTTCCTGGAGCACTGTGCTCAGTGCAGTACAGGACAGACTGGGCACGATTCAACCAAAAGCTTATGGGCCTGTAAAAAAAAAAGGGAGAGAAAAAAACAGGTCAAAGCCTATACTATTTTTCTAATGTTAAATATTCTTGAGAGGAAAGAAATGAAATTTGGGGTGTATGAATTATAAATGAAAGGCAAAAATGAAATCATGCACATTATGAAATAAGCACATCCTATATAGGAAATGTCAAATTCAACATTTTTTCTGGCATGTGAAGTTAATAGTTTAGATTATTCCATGCAGTCACATACAGTTACCAAATTTTATTTTCTTTCCATACGGTTATTACATTTTTAGTGAGTAATATTCTGCTGAGATTGGACTCCCATAATAAACATTGCCTGCCTACATTAGTTTATTCACTGTTTACTGTTCCAGCAAGATGCTTTATCAGGGTTTTTTAAATCAATACACTTCACAGTTGTACGTGTTTCAGCAATGAACACCTTAATAATTCTGTCAAAAGTTTTATAGGACAAATTAGTTGCCTGAAGAAACATCTTTCGGGCAGTTGTGCAATAAAACTGAACTAAGGAGAGCGTTGGTAGTGATAGGTAGTTAGGTAGTGAAACATAGCTAGATTCCACTCAAGGGTCAAAATGATCTACTGAAAGAATCTAACTGGCATTTGGGGGGGGCTGTTTGCTTTGTAGCATTTAAAGAGGTGAAATGGCTGTGAAAAGGTGGTATTTTTTCTGTTTGTGACCTGGAACTCTTAATTTGTTTTCTGTTGGTATGTCCATTAAATATTCAGAGTTGTATATACATAATGAATAGATTTACAACTGTAACAAGAATGGGAAGTCAAATTGCTGTTTTCTTTATCAGACACCACAAACTACAAAAAGAAGAAGAAAACACTTGCAGCTGTTTGTATTATTAAAAAAAAAAAACACATTGTGCGGTCCAATATTGAATTTATTAAACCTAAAGCACACGTGTCTTCATTTTATTATCTCACTTTCTCCCTCTTTTATAATTCATAGAAAACAGTTTATTTTCTAACAATGTGAATGAATTATTTGTATCTAAGTTTTAAAAAAACATGCGGCAAAATGCAATTTATGAGTGGGATGACAGAAGAAGACTCCAATTACAAAGAAAGAATGGTCTACTGTAATGCTCTTTTTTTGGCAGTAAAATGTCTCAAAGCTGTGATTGCATGAAAAGAACAACATTCCTATTTAAGCAGGAGGAAAATTACTTTCCATAGATAAAAGCTACATAATTCTTAGTAACAGAAGGCACGGAATGTCCAATGATCAGAAAAAAGTTCAAATCTTGTTGGCAATCTCAGGGGATTGTTGAATTGTAAGAACCGACCTGTCAGTCTTTCCAAGCTCTTGATTACTTGGTAGCTGGAGCAACTATCCAAGATAGTCCTTTCTGAGAGGAATCCCCTTACTTTCCCTTGCACCCTCCCTTACCAACTCCTGTCTTCAACAGACAACGGCTCAAGATCTTAGGATGACTCTTCCAGTCCAGTTATAATCACCTTCTGCCCACTTGTCTCCAGTTCTTCCTTCTCTGTCATTTAAATATTGGTGTGTACTTCTGAAAGCAAATATGCAACACTGTGCAACACGATGTTCTGATGTCATTGAAAACAACTGCGGCTGCTATGTTTTAGAAGTACAGGTACATACTGATTAATTTTTTAAAAAGTGCCGGCTTTAACCTTGGGCAGTTTACATAAAAATAGTGAAAGATGTTATTATCAGTCCATTAGCCACTGTTTACACAAGCCTTTCCCCTCTCCTTCTGTTTGTTCTGTTCCAAAGTTCACGTTCTGGGTAATAAAACCTCTGGGTAGGCAGGCTTCAATGACAGTTATTTAAAAATACAAAAACAAAAATCTGCTGTGTGCTGGGGGGGGGGAAACACAGCCAGCATTTTGTATCTTTAAAGCTGTAGTAGAAAAACACATGCCGTGGATATCTGAAATGCCTCTGATTTATTACACTTGAAGCTGCCTTCCTAAGCCCTGACTGGAGCAGCACTTTGAACATGAGAGAGACACTCTCACATGGTGAATCTCACATACAGTACCTGTTGTTTTACTGTTTTATTCAGATCCAGCAGCCCTGAATCAATTATTGAGTATGCATTATGATGCTTCAACTGCTCCCGTTTGGGGTCATTTGAACATATTTTAGGGGATAATTTTAGTTTGCGTTGTAGACCTTTAAAAGGAGATTCATGCTTGACAGCTATTTCATACTGTATACTGTAATACTGTAATGTATTTCATACATTTTGGAGCGTTAGGCGTTGCCCAAGATTTATCGGATGTTCAGGATCTTCTTCCTTCTGATTGAAGTGGCACGCTGGAAAAGTTTGACTTAACAGTAATTAAATTCTGTAAGCAGTAAGACACCTTTTAATCTGAAGTCACCCCTGTTGTTATTTTCACTGTTTCTGCTTCCTGTGGTGATTAACTTTCTAATTACGAGCTGCTGATTGATGTGGATCATTTAAGGATGTTAAGTGTGTCTTACCTTTCCCTAGGGAGGCTAATCTTTGGTTGTTTTGGGCAGCGTTTGCTAAGAGTAAAGAGCTTTCGTACAATCCTTTGGGCTTTCCCCAGTAGTTGCTTGGTGCTTGCATCCAGCTGTCCATAGCGATGCTGCAGGCTGGAATCTGCAGTCCAGTACTGCAGTATCACCGATGTGTTTAAAAAGCGATCAGCTGGGAGTCTCTTCAGAAAACTCTTGTATTCATCTGAGGATACAAAAGAACTACAGTGAGCTTTTCCATATTCCAGCAAGGAGGCTGACAGAATTGTCACAGGGGATACAGTACCATGAGAATAAACAAAACAATAATCAATGTAATCCAGCCTTGCAAAATTGGCTTTTTATCAATTTTATTTTTGAAAAAGCCACGGAAAGAGCATTAGAGCTAGCCAGCTTGCTAAGTGTAACCTTACAATTCAATTATATATTAAATGGACAGAATGTCAGCACATTAATATCTACATTTCTCAGGGGTTCATTTTCACCACATTTCTCCAATTAGGAGGTCAAAACCATTTGTGTTAGCCATCCCTTTAGAAAAAATATACATACAAATTGCAGTATGCAAAACCAATAATCTTAATATAGTTCACTCTCTTATTCCCCTGTGCTAAGCTTGGCAGGAAGAAGCAGAATTGCTTTCCAGGACACTGGTGGCTCAAGCTATTACAGTGCTCAGTGAACCCATGTGCAGTATGGGATCATTCTAATAAAGATAATACCAAGTAACAGCAGTTAGTTTAGAGTGATTTCCAGCAAATTTGACAAAACTGCTACAATCACAATTCACCCTGGCATCTTCAACCACATATTGCGAGGAAAAAAAATATTTGGCAATGTAACTGTAAACCCTTGGATAAATCAACCGCTTATTAGGAATAATCTGGCAAGTGATGTTGCAGTAAAATCATTTTCTTTGTTGTAAAAATAAGGGCTCACAATCTCATGCCATGAAACCCAATGGAATGGATTTTTGGGGGAATGGAAAAAAAATATAATAATTATTTAAAAGTTATCAACAATTCAATAAAAAATGGGATATTTTTAGGAATTTTGAATGTGAAACTTTTAAGGTAAAGATAAACCTATCCATTTTGTAGGGAATATGGTTGAAATATTTCAATAATAACCAGAATTTGGTTTTGATTCCTAGTAAAATAAAATACAAATAGTTGTAATTATATTTTTTACTTCCTTAAAGCATGGCAATGAAATATTTCGCAACCTGTAAAATCCCGCACACAGACGAAACCCTTTTAAACAAAATTGCCTTCGTTTATGATTGTGCTACATTTGGCTATGGAAAATAGTTATGAATTCAACAGCATATTAGCCTGGAATTAGCTGCTGCAGTCAGCAGCTTACAAGTCTCCACATTCTCCAAAACATTGATAGCCTTCGGCAACATTAGAATCCAATGCACAAACAGAATTTTTTACATCTGTTTTTCTTTTCTGAACTTGACTTCATTGTCCAATTTATGAGCAATCTTGTGCTTTCAGAAGGGATTCGATAGAGGAATGGGGTTATTTTCCACGACAGGCGGTGCAGACTCTCATTCTTTGGTCTAATTATTATTTCCAATTACCTTGAATTATGGAAGGCAGAGTAAAGTGGCTAGAAGCACATTCATATAAAAGACAAAATAACAGAAAGGATTTGAATAATAGTTTATGTTTTAAAAGAGTTTTACAGGCCATTGACACCAGCTCTTCATTATCTCAAGTTCAGTGTGCCGCTTGGTAAACTTGAAAATTCATTCTTTCCCCTATTTCCTCTGAATAAGGAAACAAACTGACAAATTCTGCCATTAAATATTTCCAGCCTCACAATTTTACAACCAGTACCCAGTTAACACTTTATAGTATAATTTATATAGTATAATTTATTGTTGTATCTTATTAAAATACACTTTTTATTAAATCAGTTGTCTTACTGTATTTTGGATACATCCAAAATAGTGCAAACAGAATATTCAATACTTTATTAACTTTTATTTATTTAAATTAGGCCTCAATGTTTTACTTTCTCTGCATATACTATTCAGCCAATTGGCTGATTATTAATGCCCCAAGCAACATCGAAGCTGCCTGTTTCAGAGACATCAGTAAGTAATGGTTATCCTTGCACATCAACAGAGGGGTCATTTGAGCCCTGCTTCCATCAATATCAGAAGCTAATTAACCTGTATGGTTGATCTTCCCTTGAGAGCACTGTAAGCTTGTGGAAAGTCAGCATCTCCTGCCTTAAATGAAAATTCTCCTATTAGATGTGACAATATTGACCTTTCTGTGACTTGAAAGTCAGAGCACTTGTTTTGGAGCACTGAGGGCATATAGTATGCCAGTTTATGAGATCTATTTTTTTGTGATGTATGAGTTATTATTTCTCATTTTCTAGTACAACACAGTCGTAGTATTTCATGTCAATATCAGTGTGATATTACGCAAAACAAAGGTAGTCTGTCAAAAGAATATTTTGGTGATCAGTGTGTACAGTATATGTTTATAATTCTATGAAAAGGTTTTGGCAAATATAATAGCTAATTTGCACATTACAGTAATTGTTTGCTTTCAATAGAATAGATGAGTGTTTCTTTAAGGATCTTAAGCTTATTTTACCAGTCAAGCTACACAACACTGATGAGCCCCAATAAGGAAACTACAGGATTCTGTAGTTCTTTGTCTTGACTAAATACAAGTGAAGTAGTCATTTTGGATGATTTTGTTTTGAAGATTGTGAAAAGGTCATAGAAATTATGCATGCCTATGCCAATTAATATAGTTTAGATTGTATTTAATCTATATACTATACAGTATATGCTTATGTTCATAGAACAATCTTGATGTGTTAACTGTTTGAAAGTATTATACTTTTATACTGTATATTGAACACAATCCATTTAACTAATTTGGCATACAGTTTGACAGAAGCAGATTAATTACATCCAGCAGGAATAACAATTTTGCATAAGCACCTCCAACCTAAACTGCTAATTGCATTTAAATACCAACACTCCACCATTAAAATGATTAATAACTGCACAGAGTCAAATTTCACAATATAAAAACTTTGCAAAAACTGTACTAAGAAATATGCATCGAACCAAAAAGAATATGCTGATCCATTACAAACTGTCCCTTTTGGGATAAATTAAATAGAGATAAAAGTTGAAAGATGGCCTGCAGTAGTCCTTTTTTGTAACTTAGGTGTAAGATTTACTACCTGTGCTAACTGAAGTGATAATTGAAATCACAAAAATAATCCTAGTATCAAGAACTGAAGATTTTTTATTTAAATTGGCTACAGAAACATATTATAGAATTTATCAAACTTTTTATGAAAATGATTATCTCATCTCTATGAAATGTTCTTTTAAAAACACACCTACTCTAAATTGAATTAGAGGAGCATGTACTGTAATCACAATACTGCAAGGTGCTCTATGGAGAAGGTATTCATAAAAATATTTTTATCTTGCACAAACTGTAGCATTATTTTTGCATTTAATTATCAAGTAATATACAAACTTCCTAAAAAAGTCGAAAGGAGCGCCTATTAATTATTTTGATACTATCTGATAATTTGTAGCAACCTCTTCCTTATTTGTTTTATATTATGCCTTAGTGTTTCACAAATGTGATTTTAGGAAGGATACGGTACATGCATTTTGATTTGCATTTCATTCAATGGTAAATGGATGTGAATTTAACATGAAAACATTGCATGACATTCATCGGAGGTATTGAAATAATAATTTCATAATAATAAATGTACTCTGATATATAGTATATCCAGAACTGTATACAATATATACTGTATGTTTGAAACACTCTGTGTTTTAAATGAGAATATATCTAGTGGGTACAAAAATCCTTCCAGTTCCCTATCCTAGCCTTGTCCCCGTGTTTTCTCAATCCTCTCTGGATTGTGCTGTCTGCATAGGGTCCTGAAAGACGCTTTGTGACAGCAATTGCTTAAATGTGCAATTTATTTCATGCAACTAAAACAGCTGATGCCAATTTTATAATCCCATTACAGTTGAAGCTCAAGCACTGTTAAGATCCTACCCTTACTGTTGAACAAGGAATGTCTGGATGTGTATTTCATTTTGTTACTGAAGTAGAATACATCACAATGGACCTAAAAGGATTTTTAGAGCACAGTTGGGTAGACAATTATTACAGATTAAGTACTGGATATAATTAACGGCTTGAGAAATCTGATGTATTGACGCAGCTGACAATTTGAGGATTTACTACAAGGAGCAGAAAGTTCTATTTGGTCATGGGCTGTGGGATATTTTTAGATACAGTGTGGCTTATAATGTATATAATAATGTAATAAAATAACGTATTAAAAGCAATAACAGAATACAAGGTAATGTTATAAGACAAGGTAATCCACTTTTTTTGTTTTGCTACTAAAATATTATAATGCCTTTAAATATATCATTGCCAAAGTTAATTGAGCTGTTTTCTACAATATCTCTCCAAATCTATAATACAAAAATAACCTTAATATCTGTTTACTTGATTTTTACCCAAAGAGACATACAGTATTTACAGTGGATTGAAAGCAGATACATTTAAAGTAGTGAAATACTGCTAGTGTGAATATTTCTGAACAATTTGTACTCATTTAGCTAACATTTGTAGCACTGTTTCGGCTGGAAAGGATTTTGAAATTTGTTCTAGAAGTCCCTGAGCTAGGGTTAGGGTTTGACAGCACCTAGACAAATTCTAATATTATGCATTATGATGCATTTGAAATGCAGGAAGGTGCTGGTTTTTTGATTCCTTGAAAATTTAATTTTTCCCCATTTTGTCATTTTTTGTGAGCCACAAACCTGTCAGGCAAACACAGTCAACACTGAATGTTTTGAAAACAGCCTTTCTACATGCTGAATCCTCTTATTTTAAGTGGTTTAAAACAAACTAAATGGAACGTATATCCAAACTTAAGTAGCAAATGTAATCCTAAGGTGTAAACGGCAAAAATCATGTTCATTTAATATATCATTTCAGCAGCAAGTTACAAAAACCTAGATAATGCAGAATTAAAATAGATTGAAAGCAGATACATTTAAAGTACTGAAATACTGCTAGTGTAAATGTTTCTGAACAATTTGTACTCATTTAGCTAACTTTCGTAGCACTTTTTCAGCATGCCAGGATTTTGAAATTTTTCTAGAAGTGCCCAAACTAGGGTTGGGGTTAGGGTTTGACAGCACCTAGACATATTCTGATGCATTTT